TATTACAGTGGAACCCCTCTAAGGCAGACAACTTAGAGCCACAACATTTTGTCCATTATAGCGGGGTGTCCTTTATGGAGGGGTTTTGCCTGATTATACAGTATTACACAATTTAATACTCTAGACTGATGATGATGATGATGATGACAGTAGTCAAAGTCTATAGAAAGTATATACTCATCCAGTGTACTCTGTCTACCCAAAGCTAAGGTATTGTAGTTAAGGCGCTACTACGCAGGAATCAACATCAGAGAATTGCCACCGAGTCTGCAGAGGAGAGAGAGGTTCGACTACAGTTACGACGCAGGAATCACGTGCTACCTGCGCATGCGTCAGGATAACGCGCTTCTAGACGGTGCTAGGATGGCTCGTGCTCGCCAATACCGCATTCGCCTACTAGTTGGAACTAGTGAAGCTCTTCGCACTGATGGACGTCTCTAAAGCAGTTTTAGTTGTAACCATGTTGTCGCTGGCAGGGGGTGTGGCAAACTGTCCATTACGCGGGGTTTTTTCTACGTTGAAAAGCATTTGGGATTGGTTTTACTGTCCGTTATACGGAGTAGCGGGGTGTCCGTTCTGGAGGGGTTATGAACGTACGGAACTGTATGATAAAACAATCGGGACCTGCGAGTTTGTCCGTTATAACGCGGTGTCCGTTGTAGAGGGGTGTCCGTTAAGCGGGGTTCCACTGTAGTACTGTGTGAAGCAGTGATTATTCAATGTCATCATATTACAATACTTGTCAGTCTATAGTACGCACTCTCAGGTCAAGTATGTCACAGTAATATACACTTTACGTACCCAGGTAGGGGAGAGTGTAAGTGTGATGGAGAGAAGTGTGACTGCGACTGTGAGTGTGGGACAGCTCCTCTCTCTGGTCAGCAGTACTCTGGAGATGACTGTGGCTGCGACCCTGACAACTGCTACAATGAACAGTACCCTGGCGTGAGTTGATAGAGCACTTACAAATCTGTGTTTGTGTGCAATGGGCTGTGAGATAGAGACACAACTTTGCTTGATTCTCTAAACAGAGAGTGTGTGCACACAGTCAGGACAGAGAGAAGGATGGAAAGTGCGACTGCAATGATTGTCTGTGTGACACAGACTCTGTCTCATTCAACAGGACTTGTATCTACAAAGTATATAACATGCACTTATCCACTGACATATTGAATAAACTACGTGCATCTAAATTTACACAGGACCACCTGTGCAGTTTGTTTGTGTCATGTTCTCTGTGTTGGCCTATGAACTGCTCCATAGGAGACTGTCATCCCAGCACTCTGGATTACCTCAGTGAGCTCTTACCTTAAAAGCATTACTATTAGCTCTCTTTCTCCCTGCAGATAGTGATGGGGTATCAGTGTCTTGTACATTTGAACGGGACGGATGTACTGTGGACTATCAGGTGGTACTCTCTGGGGCCTTCAACACTATGGGCAGTGTCTTTGTTGGAGGAGAGAGAGGTCTGACAACAGATAGTTTTTAGTAGGCTTTGCTTCCTTACATCTGTTGATTTTTGCAGATTGTCAGGACTCAGACATACTGAGTCAGCTGGCCTGGATCATTCCTGTGTCAATCAGTGGAGGTATTCTATTGCCAGTACTGCTGCTACTAGTTGCCACCACATGCATTCGGACTTACAAGGTACACTTTTAGTGCTAGTCACTCTTGGATTAGGTTTTGAGTATCTATAATATTGTTGTCTTTCTTTTACAGTGCAACAATCCCATCTTTACAAGTAAGTTTAAAGAACTTGGAAGTTTGAAAGTGTGTAAATAGTTATTTTTTGCATGGGTGTTTTGATCATGCATGAAAATTCTCTCACCCAAAGTGATCCTCATTTTTTAAGCTAATGTTATTGTTTGCTGCAGGAAACAGTTCTTATACTGATCCAAGGTAATTATAGAACAGTGTATTCCTTCTTATGAGAAGTGAGAAGTAGTCAGTAGCACAGTATTGCAGCAGCAGTAGACTAATTACTACTGAAGTGTGATTTCCTCCCTTTACAGTGGCAGAGCAGTAATCTATGAGACAGTTGGCGATGGTGACAGTCACCCAGACATTGGAGTCTATGAAACAGTGGATGATGTACGACAGCAGCATCGTGTGGCTGAAACTGGTCCAGCCACTAGAGATAATTTGGCCTATGGAGTCTCTTACCGTGTCTCCACAGCACCCAACCCTGCATATGTAGTTGTGAACAGTAACATTCGGCCTTGTCTCTAGGCCAGGGAAATATTGTGGAGAACTGTTTTGTAGCTAGCTACACACTACTTACTTTTCTTTAGTCACGTTATAATTATTCATGCAGTCTAAGTTGTGGTTACAACAGGAGCTATATATAATTATATAAATTATTATACAGTATAAAAAATATATATTTGTAGTGAACACTGTCGTAGGACCCAATGACAGTATATAGATGTACTGTGATTTACGGCATGTTACTCAAAGCTACACTGTGAAAAATACAGCCTTGACTATGAGAGGTATATAGAGTGTGCAGAGCTGTGGAGTGCTGTCCACCGTACACCACAAGAAAAACAGAAGTGGTTGAAGGACCGTGAAGTAAGCATAGTCATATTAGCTATATACAAAGATGGATATACCTGAGCACATGATGAACGACACTGTGTATCATCTGAGAGTGCTGTAAGGGATCTTATGAAGGAGAATATGCAACTATGACAAAGAATAGCAAAAGGATCAGCAGTTAGCTATACAAATATCTGAGAGCCAATGTACGTGTTGTAACCCTCGGCGCGCATGCGCAGCGAGGGTTGGGTTTGTCTGTGTGTGTCTGTTCTCGTCATCTCACTTCTCGAGTGTTCGTTCGTCTCACAAAGAATACCACCTACTGAACGGGCAATGAAGGTCAGAAATGTCGAACAGTTTTCTCTGAAACTACGGCTTGCCGAATAAGTGCCATCCTTCCACTTCCATTCGGTTTCCATTCCAAATTCCTCCCATTTTCCATGTTGTACCTCCACTTTCTGTTCGCCCAACACGCGCTGCGCACGTTCGATGTTGATACTATATAGGCCCCTACGGCCATCAGAGAATCGTGGCTAATGGGGACGAACACAGAAAAAGACATGCGCCGAGCCTTAGGGTTGGCCGATGCGGCTGGGAATATATTATACTGTGTTTTTTTTTTTTTCCCCCTTACGGACTGGATTGCGAAGCTAACGTCCCCCCTCGTGACATTACCGATCAGGGGGGTCTAAAGGTGGGTGTGTGTGGTGGACTAGCGACAGTGGACTAACGGGGCAGACCACTTACGCGAGAAGGTCTGGGTTAGGGGGGAGACCAGTGTAGCTAGGTCACGTCAGAGAGGTGCCGTTGGACATCCGAGCGTGCTGCATGCAATTCTGAAGCCGAAAAAGAAAAAAAAAAGGACGGCAGTCAGCGCCGCGATGGTCAAGCTACATTCTAGAAGGCTGGGAGAAAAACCGGAAGAACGGAAGCGCGAAATGGGGAAGAAAAAAAGGAAATCGAATTTGGAAAAATTGGAATACAAGGTATATACAAAAATTCTATGGAAAATGGGAGGGAAATTTTGGAAAGAAAATGGAAAGAAAAGACAAAATGGAAATTGGAAGGATGTAAAGGTCTATGGTGGGCGAAATAGTGCCATGGCGATATTCATTCCGTTTTTATTATTATTACTTAGGCTGGTGGAAAACAAGAAGTGAAGAACAAAAAAGGTGAAGTACATGATAGACTGTGCTGATGGCTGCTGGCATAAAACGCAAAAAATTACAAATTAACATTGAAATGCATTTTGACTGGTAATTGAGAACACTTGGGGCATGGACACAGATAGTGATATATATGAACACACATTGTTTGAATCGAAGTTGGACATGAAATTATCCCAGAAATATGCCCCTAACTTGGAGATTATTGCAGAAGGAGAAAGAGTTATATCAAAGAAAGGTAAGGAGTTCCATAGACGAGGAATCCGATTGAAATAAAAGTTCCTTTCATAGTTACTTCTACCCAGGGGGTGTTTCAGCTTGTAACTATGGCCAGAGCCAAATTCTACAGCTGTGGACTACCTTGTGACTGATAGGAAGGGGTACTCCTTTGTGACAGAGTGCCTTCCGAGAAACTTCAAGAAAGATGGTGTGAAACTCATCTAGCTCTAGTAGAATGACTACAGAATTGGACAAACTCATGTATATTGAAATGGCCGGATGGAAACTTTACAGACTTGACCAGGAACATAATGTCAACAATTTCAAACTCCATTTTTTTCCATTCAATTTTTCAATTTCCAGCGATGCGTTCCAAATGCTGTTCTTTATTTCCGGTTTTCTAACCTGCGAGCTGGCAGCTAGGGGTAAGAGAGTGGCTAGCGTCTCTAAATCTGGGTGCATACCAAGGCAGGCGGGAGTTAGCATACTACTATAAACCCTTACCCTAAACCCTGTGCGCTCGAGCGGGCTTTACCAATCATGACAACAGCAGCCGCAGGCGCGGTTACGCCCCCCTAGCTAGCCGTGAGTGACGGCCGTGTACGATCGTAGCCTCGTAGGCCGTTTTGCGGGGCATGGGAAGGAGGCTAGGGACTCCCTGGCGGTCCCAGTTCGCTCCCAGCATGTAGCAGTGATTGTATTGGCGAGCACACTTCTCCCTTCGCTAGCGCCGCGGTGAAATGTGGAACGTAAAAAACTGAATTTGGAATGGGAAAAAGTGTGAATGGAAAACGGAATGGAAATCGGCATGGCATCTATCGGCCACCGTATATACATGTCGGCCACCGTAGAAAACGCTCCGTTGCAAAGCTAGAGCGCGAAAAAGCCAATATGCAAAGCAATACACAATGGACGCCGGCTTACTACAGCATGATCGATCCGCCTGCTCTGCGTACCTCGGAGGCACCAGAAGATGCAACGCAGGGCGTGTATCGCCTCTCGCATGCTATCTAGTAGTGTAGTTAGTCCGCGTCAGACTCTGCGCGAGCTGGCAAGAGACCACGAGTAACAGCTAAAACTAAACCCAGCCCATCAATTAGTGGTACGGCGCATGCGTTTACTTACGCGTGCGTGTCACAGTGCGCCGAGCGTTTGCACTTCAGTGCTTTTCATTTGAGTAGTAAGAGCTGGAGTTATCAGACTGCTGATTCTGCTCTATGTTTTATTGTTCTATCCTTTCCTACTTGTTTGTTGCTCAATATGAATAGAGCCTCACTGAAGTGCCGTGCCCTCCCCCACGTGCATGTGCTTCCCCACAGAAGAGGTGGGTGGCCACACCGCTGAGAGTAGGTTGTGGATGGCAGCTACCATCCACAACCTGGGCATTTAACTGACCTGTCATAAAATGCTGAACTCTTCGCTCTCTACAGAATCCTTATAGCCATTGCATTCGCTAAACAAATTCCTGTTATGAAGATGTTTAACATCCTCCTTTGCACTGTCATCACGAGGTCATGTCTGTCTTGTCTCCTTGCTTTCATCCATATTATAGTCACCTTCTTTGTTCATTAATTTTGTCTTCTTTCTTTATTCAAATGCAGGGTGTGCAATAAAAAGGACATATTTTGGGGCATAATGCCTAGCTACAATTATATAAGTGACCTAGTATAGCCTTCGTTTTTATCTCTTTTGTAATTCAATTTTAGGTACAATGCCATTTCAAAATTAATTATTGTCTTTGATGTAGTATACAAGAGAACTGGTAGGCTGCTCCTTGCAACGTAGAGTCAGTAGCTAGGTCTAAAGCATACTTATATTTATAGTGATGTAATATTTTTCCTTCCTGTGTAGCTATGTAAAAGCACTTTTCACCCTAGCTACCTCCTAGCAGGAAGTGTACTTAGACCGTTGTAGCTATACCATTGTCCAATCTGTCTATAATAGTTATTGATGTAATGGTAAACAAGTGTACGTCACTTGTTTGTATACAAACTGGGAAACATGTTTATAGCTTTGCAAGAGAAGATGAAGCGCTGGAAGATGAGTTTGCTTGATACAGGGAGATAGTTGGCGAAACGCATTGTCTTCCTCTACAATTTATACCATGACCTATGCTCACTGGTGTGTACAGTAACATGCATTCCCTGATTCAAAAATTGAAGTCAATATGACGTCTAGAAAATATGTGTCATTGCACACCTTCCTCTAGCCACCAGTTTATGACAATTGAGGGCCACCATTTCACATGGTATACTACTGGACTGAGAAGCACCTAACAGCAGGGATCCAGACACCAGTCCAGTTAATGACAATTTGACTTGTTATGCTGCATAGTTGTTTACACCTAGAGGTATAATTATAGCTTAACAAATAGCCTCAGGCACTTTTCTTAAAAATTCATTCTTCACTCCTCAAACTCGCTACCACGCATGGAGATGAAACTTGGTATGCACATCATTTCCATGACGACAACAGGTGTAGTATTTTAATTTTTATAGGAGCTTGCCCCATTCCACAGATATAATATGTAGTAGTATATAAAAATGAGTGGAGACAAGTAAATAAAAAATCCTGCGAATTTTAAAAAAGAGGCATATAGGGATTGTATATATAAAAAGAAAGGGAGACAAGATAGGGATGGGATACATAAAGCGTGGTTAATGAACAGATTTGAGCACGCTGACACACCGACCCCATCACACAATCCCTATATTGTTGCCTAGGTGAAGGATTAAACATTCACCATTACAATACTCAGAACGTACAATACACTGAGTAACCAACCCCCTAATAGAGTCCAAGTTGAGTTTAAAGGGAATGTGGCAGTATAAATGTTACTAAAACAACAGGGACAGGGTGAAAGAATGCTTGCTTTTAGTAACCTTTAGCCCCTATAAGAGTAGCACACCAGGCAACAATATAGGGATTGTGTGATGGGGTTGGAGGTGTCAGCGTGCTCAAATCTGTTCATTAACCACGCTTCATGTATCCCATCCCTATCTTGTCTCCCTTTCTTTTTATACAATCCCTATATGCCTCTTTTTAAAAATTCGCAGGAATTTTTATTTACTTGTCGCAATAGTAACTTAGTGGAAATGTTGGACATTGTTGCGAGCGGGAGCGACCAAACTTGGGATTTGACCGCGATGTTCGGGGAGCATTACTTGCCACAGCTTTCCTTTCGTGAAGCAAGACAGATCTACCTGTCGCCGTTACATGCGTATTGTACATTGGCAGAACGCAGAGACCGGTGAGCAGAACGGTACTTACCTTACGCTTTCAGCTCGTCAGCCGTGGTCCACCAGGCAGCTGGCATGCAGCAGTAGCTATGTGCACGAGCAATCCTAGCGCATTTGCAAGTTGAACCTTGGAACCATGAAGATTGGGAAGAGGTAGAGCGAGGGATCAAAGGTCGGCCACCATCAATGGTCGGACACTTACTCTGGGAATATCAAGGCACTAAGGCAGATCTTGACTACATCAATACAAAGCCTACACATTGACCTGCTACTCCTACAAAAATTATCCGCTCGGCTGCTTCCAAGGGGGAGAGGTTGTCCTACAAAGTCAACGCCCGAAGACTCAAAACATCGGACAAAAATATCACTTGTCGGACGGCTCCGTTTTCTTGCCCTCTTGTACACGCACCAAATCACAGGCAGCAACTTTATGTAAGACTACCCCTCTACTACTTGTATACAACAAGTGAGGCGAGTCCGCGTTTACACATCGTTGCAATGTTTCCGCAAGGGTCCCGTAATCGGACGCGCATGCGCATTACTAAGGAAGAGAAATACTGATCATAATTGACCAAAAAAGCTTAGCAACAGTTAAAGGTTCCATCTCTTGCTTTTGTTAAATATATCTTTACACACACGCAGTGATACCACTGGGTGCATCTTTCACACTAAACCCAATTCCTGGCTCTTGTATGTTCACATGTTCCAGCAACACATTTACCTAATATAAAAATTAAACAAACAATAACAAAACTTACTGCAGTCAGTCAGTGGTGCCACCCTTGCACGTGTGCTACGTGTTTGCACTAGAGTGAAGGAATGTAAAATGGTATAATACAGTATCGTAAAACTACGTACCTTTTCTCTGCGGCCTATTCTCTCTCTCCTTCGTACCTGGAACTGTAAATAGTGTGGCACATAATGTATAAACGAACCAAACTTTAAATACCTTGTTCTGAGTCGGCTAGCTGAAGTTTGCTCTTGCCTTGAGCTATCCCACCAACACTGGACGTGTCTACTACAAGACGAACAATACCGTTACTTCTTACTTCGTACTACCTTACCACCAATGTCTACACTTTGGTGTGTTGTAAGTGGAGCGGTTGATCTTTTCTTCTTAGCAACTAAAAGCAAAAAATAATGAAAAGCACTAAAGTGCAAACCCTCGGCGAACTGCGCATGCGCGGTACCGCTAATTGATGGGCTGGGCCTATTATAGTATATAGTATACGTTTACTCCCGCTAGTAGCTCGCGGAGAGTCTGACACGGGCTAGCTACAGTAGTAGATAGCATGCGGGAGTCACTCCCTTCGTTGCGCCTTCTTGTGCCTCCGAGGTACGCAGATAAAGCGGATCAGGGCTAGTGCTAATTAGCATATTGACTTGTTCACTTGGTTTTCATGCCATAACTTCTGAACGCGGCACTTTTACGAAAATCGCCATTTTTAAAATCAAGCCAGTGTAGCGCTGAACCCGTTGGTGTCGCTATTTTACCTGTTTGTTGCGCGTGGTGGCAGAAAACGTGGTAACAGACGGACAGACGGACAGACAGATGGACAAACCAAGTACTGTAACCCTCGCTGAGCATGCGCGCCGAGGGTTAATTACTGAGAGTATAACACCTTTGTTAAAAATCGATTACTCAGTGCTAAGCACTTTTCGCAAGTGGGAGCGACCCAACTCGGATACACAATCATTCCTGAGTATGTACAGAGAGCTCCTGCTCGCCAATCATCATTCACCTTTGGAGGCTAGCATGCTTCTTCTTTCTTCCTTGGCTTTCATTCGTTCCACCTTCTTCTTCTCCTTTTCCTGCTTTGCTCGCTCTTTTTCCGCAATTTTGCTAAGACTTTCTGCACTTGTCAATACGCGGCCACATGACTTTGGACGATATGTTGTTTGTCTGTAAACAGGAGAGGGACACCTAAGGAATCTGCTCACTGCTGAGGATTGTGGAGCCTGAAGCCAAACACAAGAGGTGTCAGGAAGCTCCGAAGTATCATCACCAAGGTGGTATGGGGAGAGCTACTTTCAAGACATTGCTCAGAGGCAAGAGGCTTGGTACGTCGTGTTGCAGGACTATATAGTGGGATGAAAGCTAGTCCACTCTCCCTTACCAATGGAGGGTCTTCCACATCAGAAAATATGTCCCTGTTTAGAGGATGCACCCCTGTGACCCTGAACCCTGCACATACATTACTTACTGTCATGTTTTTCATCCATGCTTGATTGAAAAGCCTTGAAAATTGGTACCGGGTTACAATTTTTCCTGGGTTCATTGTCAGGAACTGGTGACATGCTTCCCTCCATGCAACTTTAAGAGGACCAAAGCACCCTTTGTCAAGTGGCTGTGATAGGTGAGTTGTATTGGGCGGCAGAGTGAATAAAATGACCTGTTCGTTTGCTGCGAGTCGGACGGTATCTGGGCAGTAATGAGAAGAGTGACCGTCTAGAAGGAGTAAAATTGGTCGGACTGCGGGTGCAAAGCGCAAAAAATGGTTGGTAAACCATAGGTTAAAGAGTTCCATGTCCATCCACCCATTTTTAGACAAACCATATATGGTTCCAGGAATCTCACCGTGAGTTAATTCTGGTGATAGAATTTTTCTGTCCCAGATCACCATTGGGGGAATACAATAACCAGCAGCACTCACACATGCCACAACAGTTATCTGGGTTTTGTCTCCTGATCCTATGGCTGACACAGCGGCTCCTCTCACAGCAACTAGCTTGGGAGGCTTGGCATCCAATGGCATGCCACTTTCATCCATGTTAAACAATTGCCCTGGCTTCCCTACCAGGTCATTCTCCTGTATCGTCTTCTCCAGGAGGTCAAAATAGCGTGCCAGCATTTCAGGATCTGTTGCTTTTGCCCGAGCGAGTGAGAGAGGTACTGCTGTCCTGAGAGTTAGACCAGGATGTCTACGGTGAAATGACTCCCACCACCCATTGGTTACGGATTTCTGAATTCCTCGACTTTGCAAAACACGCTGAACTAAGGCTAACACCTCTTTACGAGACTTGGCGTAACCTATTGAGGCGCAGCGTGTAAGAAAAACAACCAGCTCTTCCTCTTCTGCAAATGAGAGGTAAGTTGCAGGACCACATGAGGCATCTGCTAACACACGGCCACTTAACCAGTCGCCCAGAGATGACTTAGGGACACCATACTGCTCAGCAGCACGACGAATGCTCATACCCTCATGTAATACTGCATCTATCGCTCCGTGCATTTGCTCCTGTCCCCAAAGTCTATACGTTCCTGTATGTCCCACATCTCTATAGGGTGCTGTCAGTGGCAGTGGGCTAACATTTCTGCTGCGATAAACCCTGTTCCTCAAGGGAATTGACTGAAGCATCTTGTAAAACCTATTAGTTAAAAGCAGGACAATTAATAGCATACGCTAATCACTGAACTAAGTGCTAAACCCTTGGCACGAAAGTCAGGAGAGATAATGTTGCGGAAATAGCATAGCTGTTGCACAGTCGTAAGGCCAAAAAGTTGACCAAAATTGTGCATAGTGAAGTGGAGTCCTCCCCTCTCTCTCTTTTTTTATACTTATTCATGTGAAAGCGTGAGCCGTTTTAAGGGATTGCACAACCCGAAGCTATGAGGTTGCAGCTCTGGCGTGGTGTGTGTGTGTGTGCGACACTCTACGCATGTCACCGCCAACACACGTAGTGCGCACGCTATGTGGGTGCAACAAATGGCAAACCATGAGTGAGCCAGTAGTACAGGAAAAACGCTCTGGGTCAGAACAAGGCATTTTTAAAAATCCGACATTTTTTCATCTTCATCTGCCACTGAAGAGGTATATAGCTTCATTTTTCGGGAGACTAACTCAAAAAGTGAGTTATCGAATAACGGACAAACACACACACAGAGATCAACTACCCCCTTGGCACATGTGCTGAGGGTCTACAAGCATGTAAACAGATCGACTCGAAACCAAATTTCCTATACAGATGTGGCATGCAATTCATACGCACCAGCAGAAAGGATAAAAGGGGCATGTGAGTTTTAGACCGTAGGGAATGTAGCTATACGGCGACAAAGGACGCGCATGCGCAAGCAGCACGTGTTCAAAGGCTTACCCGTCTTTCCAGTTCCTCTGCAGTGGCCCTACTAGAGTCCAGCTAGGCGGTCTGTAGATAGAAACACACTATCATCATCACAATGTCTTAAGTGGCAAGAAAGAGAGCAAACTAACCAAGATCACAGCTGCCTGCGAACACGGGGAAACTTGACTTGCGACCCAAAAGGACGCACGCAAGCCACGCATGCGCGTCCGATAATCGAGGGCGTAACCCCTGCGGAAACATTCCATGTTTGCGACGTGTGTAAACGCGGACCCGCTTCACTTGTTGTATACAAGTAGTAGAGGGGTAGTCTTACTTAAAGCTGCTGTCTGTGATTTGGTGCGTGTACAAGAGAGCAAGAAAACGGAGCCGTCCGACAAGTGATATTTTTGTCCGATGTTTTGAGTCTTCGGACGTTGACTTTGTAGGACAACCGCTCAGTCATGGAAGCAGCCGAGCGGATAATTTTTGTAGGAGTAGTGGGTCAATGTGTAGGCTTTGTATTGATGTAGTCAAGATCTGCCTTAGTGCCTTGATATTCCCAGAGTAAGTGTCCGACCATTGATCCCTCGCTCTATTCGCAGTGCATGCTGTTCAGTATGAAGCGGGTGGATCTTCCAGATTTTGGGTTTCGGCCTGGTGAGATATATTCAGTCGTAAGGACCCTCGTAGAATGACGCTGGCAGACATCCTTAGCGACGCTACAAACTAAACTCGTGTATATAATTATGTATACTTCATAGACTTTTCATATTGAAGGGGTCATAATAAGTAAGACAATGCGCATGCGCACAAACGAACTGCCCGCCTGCGTCAAACCTCCCCTCAATCCTGGCTACGCCTGCACATAAGAGGAATGCACGAGTCTGCCATTAGCTATTTTCATAGACAAAATGACCTGCCTCGTAGTACTTGGTCTGTTTCTCTGCAGCTTCCTTTATCTCTGTTTTGCTTCAACAATTGAGTTAGTTAGTTCGTTAGAAATGCTATAGCTAGCTACTGCCCACTTTGATTTCATTTTGCAGGCCAGAGCCATACTTAGTGTTTGGCACATGGTTTACTGTATCTCGTATGAACTTGGATGGTTCCAACTATTCAGTGCTTGTGGATAGTACAACTAACTCAGGCATTCATGCCGTGGATTACCACTTGAGGTAAGACGGTGGCTGTAGTAATGCAGGCTGTGAAAGTGGTTTCTGATTTAACAGGATAAACAAACTCTTCTGGACCCACTACCGAGATGGTACCATTCACCAAGCTAATATGGATGGGTCACTCCCTATAGAAATTTTCTCCAATGTCACCAGACCAAGTAGGTCCTTTATAGGTAGCATTACAATTACAGAATGTAGTATAGCTGCATGCTATTCTGGGTTGTATAAGAAGGATGGACAACGGGAAATATCAAGCAGAGTCCTAACAATAGCTCTCTAATAAAATTGTTGAAATGATATTATCCCCACTATTATATATAGCGGTATGATCCCGCCAAAACCTCAGTCCTTTCACTCACGAGATCGAAGTCTTTATTCTGACTGTCCACTGGTTCCATTAACTCATCTTTTCAAACATCTGTGGGTCGGTGGGAAAAAACACCTTGTCACAAACAAACACACAAAAAAACACTTTGAGACAAAATTGGGTGAAGTGGGTATGTCGATCTCCCTTCAACCTCCTCATAATAACGAATAGCATGCAGCTATACTACTTTTTGCCATTCATAATTTTATTTCGGAGGATTCCGGTCGATCAACATGTCCTTATATGCATGTTTGTAGTATATACTTGCCTTTCTGTATTGCGTTTCAGAAGTTGGCTGCATTGCTTTCTCCAAGCATGGGCTTTTGGTAGAACCTTGAAAAGGTACTCCCCTGAGACCAGCCTACTCTCTGCATGCTGTGATCACGCCCGATAGTGCTGCTTCTGATGCCGATGCACTTCGGGTTGAATGCCCTGGGTCCGCTTCTCTCTGGTTGATCCAGAGTGTCACGCTCAGTCTGCGCTTCTATCGATCGTATATACCACTATGTTGTGTGGATAGGTTTTCAATAGTTATTAATTTTCTGTCTATCAAACACCAGGTGGACTGGCAGTGGACTGGATAAACAATAGAGTTTACTACTCATTTGGTGATTTTGGGTCACTTACAGTTAACCCTAACCATCTCGCTGTTTACGATATGTCTACTGGAACAACTACTGAGATTACTGCGGTAATAGATCAGACACATGCAGTGTTTCATGACATAGCAATTGATCCTTTACAGAGGTAAAGAGTTTGCTAATATAATAGAGTACAAAACTAAATTGTTTTTCTTCAGAAAGTTGTACTGGACAACTGGATCTGCACTGGTTCAGTCCTCCCTGTCAGGAGAGGGTGCAGAGGTTGTCTTCAGCCCTTCCTGCAACGCTCGGTATCTGGGTTTAAGATCTAATCTCTACTGGACTGAAAACTGTGGTTCAGACGAGAGTGTCCACTCCCTGGACCTCACCACTCTCCAGGAGTCTGTCATTGTCACTACAGATGCAAACTCTTTCTACAGTGATGTCACCTCTTATGAGGACACTGTCTATTGGACGGCACTGGGACGTGTCAACTCAGCACCGGCCACTGCAGACAGTAGTGCAACAGAACTGCTCCACATTTCAAGCATTTCAACAAATTTCAGAGGAATAGTGGTGGTCCACCCTGACCTACAGCCATGGTAATTGGTCTAATTGTCAGATATGCAAAAGCAACATTAGGTTTTCATCCTTGAAATGTATCATATTCCTTGATCTATTGCATAGTCCCACACGTCAAGCCTGAGGCGTGCACAATTCTTAATGTCTGATTACAGTGCACACAACCTTCCTTGTCGACCCCCCCCAAGCAGTCACTATAGACCCTGAGTTCCTCAGGTGCAATCTGAGACTAGAACTATTGAACATTGGTCGAATTATTTTATAGATGTCCTTGACATCGGGATAAGTATATAGCACCTAGCTAAATCATTATACCTAAGTTTAGGAGGGTGTGTGTTTTATCAGACTATATTTCTGCCAATTACCTTATTGAGGGTTCTGCATACATTTTTTACTCGCCACACTGACGCCATTGTAAACAGATGCCATAATATTTCTGTGTCAACCAGTGCTACCTATACTCACAGCTTCTCATCATAGATTGGTACATTGCTACGTGAATAGCCATTGCAATGTGAAAGCTAGCTACTGCAAGTCTTGGGGGTGTAGTCTTACAACAGAAACCATGTCACCTTCAGAACCTTGCTTCATATTGTTGTTTGTCGCTCTCCCCAAGCCCATCTCCAGAACCCTATTTGCTGTTTTCCACGTGGTTCACTGTGTCTCGCATGAACCTGGACGGCTCGAACTACACAGTTCTGGTGGACAGCTCAGACAATGTCGGCCCTCAAGCTGTTGATTACCATTTCTGGTACACCAGTAAAAGAGATTATTACATAATTATAATGATGTTACTAAAATTGGGAACTAATTGCGTTCTTAATGATACTCAAGTGGCAGCCATAGTACTGGGCCATCGACCTCACACCCAGAGCAATGGGTGGAACCATTCACAAATGAACATGCACTCACCCCTTCCACCAGCGACACCAGACGCAATCTGAGGCTGGGACTGTATAGTGCGCAGGGATTATAGCCTAACCTTTCTTAGCTCCCAAACATCTACAATAAAACCCTTAACAAGGTCAAGCAGAGAACCAAATTCATCCTCCCACACCTCACTACCAAAAATAAAGAGTGCTTTCCAGAAACTATTGAGCGACTGGAAATTCTCAAACCCATTTCCAAGCTTCCCCATGAACTAGTAAATAACTCTTCTGTACCCATGAACTAGTAAATAACTCTTCTGTACCCATGAACTAGTAAATAACTCTTCTGTACCCATGAACTAGTAAATAACTCTTCTGTTATTTTATGTAGCATTCCAAATGCTGTACATTTTGCAGTATGAATAAGTTCTTCTGGACTCACTACCGAGATGGTATTATTCACCAAGCCAATATTGATGGGTCAAACTCTAAAGTATTGGTATCAAATGTCACCAGACCAAGTAAGATGATTAAAACATGTGCTAAAAAGAGGCAAAATACACCTTTAAACAGGTGCACTGGCAGTGGACTGGGTAAACAACAAGATGTACTTCTCCTTTGGTGATCATGGCTCTAACTTCGTTTATCCAAACCACCTGGCATATTATGACTTGGCTACTTCTACGGTTACTGACATTACTTCAGCAATAACTACCAATGCTGTTTTCCACGACTTGGCAGTGGACCCAGATGCCCAGTGAGTGCTATATATATAGCTCTATGGTTTCTGTACTGCAAAAGTTCTTCATGTACATGCATGTTATCATGTAATGTTGCTTGTCCTGGGGTCTAATTTACCTTTTGTTTTTGTAAAAATCGACCACTGACCTCACTCACTAGCATGTGAACTTTCACTTCTTTATCATTGGTTTGCACATGGCTGTGTTAAAATCGTGGGGTACCACTTTTTTATCACAAGTGTGCCAAGAATGAATTAGCTTGTAAAAGTGATGGGTCTTTCAAACTCATGCTAAGAATGTTTTCTGTGTTGACGATTATTATCTTTGCACACAGAAAGTTGTACTGGACAACTGGATCTGCACTGGTTCAGTCCTCCCTATCAGGAGAGGGTGCAGAGGTTGTCTTCAGCCCTTCCTGCAACGCTCGGTATCTGAGTTTAAGATCTAATCTCTACTGGACTGAAGACTGTGGTTCAGACGAGAGTGTCCACTCCCTGGACCTCACCACTCTCCAGGAGTCTGTTATTGTCACTACAGATGCAAACTCTTTCTACACTGATGTCACCTCTTATGAGGACACCGTCTATTGGACGGCACTGGGACGTGTCAACTCAGCACCGGCCACTGCAGACAATAGTGCAACAGAACTGCTCCACATTTCAAGCATTTCAACAAGTTTCAGAGGAATAGTGGTGGTCCACCCTGACCTTCAACCATGGTAACAGGTCTAATTGTCATACATGCATGTAATCCTAACAAAATTTGAATCCTTTGCTGGGTATTACATTTCAGTGATACTTCTGCCGTCATAATGAAAAGCACTAAAGTGCAAACCCTCGGCGCTAAACGCGTGAGTTGTAGCATAGCTGTATGCTGGGCCGTGCGTCATCCCTAGTCATCGACTGAGCCAGTAACACGAGTCTCGCCGTAACACAGGGTAGCTAGTTGCATTAGCGGTTAGAGAAATGGCTCAGGTGTTTCAGAGGCTCTCATATTTGCTTTATTCGCTCTTCTGTGTTTCAATGCTCCTGCCAGACGTTTTATAGATGGGAAGACAAGGCCGCAGCCACAAACTGCTCGCCAACTGAACTATTATGCTACATTGCGAACATACCTTGCTCAGCGTGTTTATCAATTGAGAACAGAGATCAAAACTGACAGAAGCCCGTGGATCGTATTATATACAGCCAACCGTGGCGTAGCGCATGCTCCGGCGAATAATAGACATGACGCGTGCGCGCTATATAGCCTGCCGGAGATGGCGCGTGAGCGATCGATCCCACGTTGGCTTTTTCGCTTGTTTTCAAGCCATATCTCTGGAACGCAGTCGTTTCAGGAAAATCGCCACATAAAACATGTCCTAAATAGGTTGTACGTTTTCTTATTGAAAGTGCAAGGGTTAATTGTGTTCATGGGTTAGCTACAACATTGGTCTGCACAAATAATAATTATGTGCAATGATGAAACACTGCTTCCTAGATTCTAATACCACGAAATAATTTCCTCTATAATGGCTGTGGTGGACATGCAGCAATCGTTCCTACAGGTTATAGTGAGTCATCTCGATAACGAGTGCCAATGTAGTGAACTCACCCAAGACGTTTACCAGTATACAGTGTATGGCTGTGTTAGGATGCATTTAGCTCCTCTAATAATGGTTTGTAAAAGCCAGAGTCTTGTTACTGGTAGCTGGCTCATTGCAACAACCCAGTCTAGAGTGCACGTTCATTGGGGACTAACACTACTGCAGAACTAAACTTTCTCATACCACAATTAATTATTGAGACATTTCCTCAATGCAAGGTTAATGATGGGCATCAATTATGCCAGTCAAAAGAATAAGTACCCAGTAGGAAAAGGCGCTCTTGGCACAATAATGTATTAAGTCCACAAACACTGCACACTTCACGTTTAGCAACTTTGAAGACTGTCAAGTGTTGTTAATGTCGTTAGTTTCCTTACATACATTGACCTAATCATTAGCTATGCATGCATGTTCTTCAGTGCATCAGCTGTTATTACACTCTACTTCCATCTCCCATCTCCAGCTATGACATCGCTCCAACATCCTCCTCCAATCCTCCTAGACATTCTACACAGTCACCATCTCCAATGTCCAGCTATAATGGCATATCATCCACACCTACTGACACCACTTTTCGATCTAGTCATTTGCAGTCGCAACCATCTCCGTCTGCCATGTCCAGTGAGGATGAGTCCTCTGCCTCATTTGTGAGTTGATCATCTGTCACAATTACAACAACTTAACAAGTGGGTTTACTTGGTGTCCTAGGAAATTGTTGTCCCGCTGGCAGCTGGTTTGACAGTCACTGCTACTATAATTGCTATAGGTGAGATAATTGGCGAGCAAAGCGAGCCTACCTAGTTGTTTCAATGCGGGAGTTTTCTATAATATCTTTATGTGACTGCTCTGTCAGGCACTGAATATACAGTAATGTTCTACGTCATTCTAAAATATGCGCAAAACACGCATGGAGTATTGAACTGCTCACACTCGCTCGCCAACATTGTGTTGCATTCCTCAAGTAGCTTAAGTTTATTATGTAACATGCTAAGATCCTTTTACCAAAGTGCACTAAGTGGTTTGTCTTCTTTCCTTGTTTATATATACAGTGCTACTTGTGACTATTACATTTGGTGTCGCCTTCTTTATAAAGAAGTCAAAGAACAAGTCTAAACGAGAGTCTACCACTCTCAGTTCAGGAGACATGTACATTAACACTAGTCCAAATACTGTGTACAAAGCATTTGAAAAGTACACAAGTGATAAAGCTACTGAAGAGGTCAATGATGATGATTATGAGAAAATTGATCCTGCTGAAACAGCCGTGACAACTGAAAATAACGATCAACAGCTGTACGAAGAAATTGATGAGTCAGTCATCTTCAACAGCAACGATTCTCAATATGACAACTAAAGCTTTGCAGAAAGCTGTCAACTTTAATACTTGAGTTTATACTTGTAATAACCTAAACTGCAGTAGATGCTATTTTTGTCCACGTTTGTGGTGACTCATTGAATATTATTACATGGCTCAGCTAGTTAAGATAATAATGTCTAATGCATATCAATACATGAATTACTTATGGTTTCCCCATCTCAAGGCAGGGGTGAATAGCTAGTCTGGCGTAGCCTGCCTACTTTTTCACAGGGAATATAAATCGAAATTCCGTTGCGTTGGCTCAAACACTCTCTTACTCATTCTGAGCCGGCAGTTTATCATTCAGTGCTCCCTGAGTTTCACAATGACACGTTTGAACTTGATTGTTGAACCTGAGGAAACTGTGGTTAAGGTTAATTAAACCCTTTGGGCGCCATTGACATATAATTATATATGCACAGAGCCTCCATAAGTGCATAAGAATTTATATATGGCTATAATACTAGGCGCTAATATGTTATACGTCAATTTCTGCTTATTTAAGGAGACACCTATAGCGCCCAAAGGGTTTTAAAGTTGTGGAATCTCTACTCTTTTGTGCATCTCGATTCCAGTATATTAGAGCGTCGGTAGACGCTCTATGTAGGGATGACACGAGTGAAATCTCACGTGATCCGCATACAAAACGCCTCGAAACTCAGCGAGAATGGCTAGCTATGCCTTCAAAACACACCACAAATCACTCACGGGTCCATATCTACCTATACACATGGCCAAAAGTTTCATACGTCCCTGCAATTCTTGACACGAGAATCTGCTCATACGCGATTTCTGATTTTTGTGTCATCATATTCTTCATCTTCTTCTTCTTCTTTAAGGTGATCCCATCTATCCCTGACACCTTTATTGCCCTCTCAACTACAGTCACAGCTAGGAAATAATTATCTCAACTCAAATGCCGCCCTACCATTTCACTATACTATACCTGGCCTTGAGCACAAACAAGCCGGTATAGCTCATGCCACACGGTGTCGCAATGGGCTACCGTGTACTCTCACACACGTTCTCTCTGCTGTGACACTGACAGGCTTTGCCAATATTCACCCGGCAACGAATAATATTATTACAAAGCTAGCCTACGTATAAATGTGTATTAGCTCGGCCAGCTATCATGACACTCACCGTAGCACGTCCCCACGACAGCCAGTAAAAGCAGGAACATCGCTGGTACCATTGAACAGAAACAAGGTGCACACCACCACACAGGCACTTTGCATACGCTCACATTCTCCGTAAACTCTCGGATACTTACTGGGTCCGCCCCCGCACACAATGTTGGGCGTTGTTGCGCATGCGCAGTGTTTATTAGAGCGGGAGATTTTTAATTACATAATAGGAGGTGGTAAAAAATAACTAATTGTGGACGTAATGAGTGAAACTGCTCTAACATAAAAGTGTCTTCTAGTTCTGCCTATCCTAGATGGACGTTTGTAAGCAACATTGGTGTACTGTTGATTTGGAGACACATGGATTGGGTTCTCTTGCTGTAGGGAAAAAAGCAACAGTCATGTTTAGGAAATGCGGTAGGCCTATGAGCTTAAAACTACCCATCCCTTGTACCTCCGTACAACCAGGAACAACAACACAGTGATTAGTATTGCCATTATTAGGTTAGCGAGGTAGAACCACATTATACAGTGATTGCCTTCAGAAGTGTCTTTCAGTAACACTAAAGTAATGAACAGGTCCCCACTAAAGAGAGGCGTCCTCATTATTATGAGCTCAAAAATAATAGAGCATCTTCCATTGGTGGAGATGCTTAACAGCTGGGAATTGGGGTGTGGTTTAATGAGCTGTAACGTGGTTGAACTTACAGGAACCCAATCAGCTTCTTCCAAGTTGTGTTGGAATTTTCTGAATTCAAATCGGTCCTGAAAATATGGACAGTAGGGACAGATGATGAAACAATGCAGTTGTACATCACGACATCATGGCTAGGCTGTACACATGTACAATTCCCATGGGTCTGTTATTGTGCAAGGAAAAGTCTCTGTGTGTTAGACATGCTAGTAAAAACACGGAAAACAGTACTTTAGAGGAAGATAAGCACAGCATTTTATATATCATGCCTTGCTGGTATATACAAGTAAGCATTATACATTAGTCACATCAGTAATAGTCATTTGTTGGAGGCAAGCGACATGTATGAAGCGAAGTATGTACTGGGGAATCAATCCTGTGTCCAAATGCAGGGTTTGTACAGTACATACCATTTTGCCTAGGGATATCCAACAAAATGTTGTAGTACAGCATGACCCTGGAAATGCAACATTATATTGATTTATGTAACTCTTAACACACATCTTACGTGTCTATACAGTGCGGAGTACTGCAAACACAAGCAGCTGTGGTGTATGCACTTTCAACAAGCTCTACTTGTTACTGTTTCTCTCTCCAAAAACAGACATGTTTCTCTCACGTCACACACAGACTTACAGCTCCACTATATAGCTACAAGCCGTTCATGTTTTCTATGTGTGTAAGGGTCCACGGTGCCACTTCATGCATGAATATATGTACTGTGCTAAGTGAGAGTTTACTGTGCCATAGCACAGTGGTTGGAGGTTTGCCTTGTGTTGTGTTGTAGATTCGAACCCCTACCAGCTGAGTTGCCCTGGTAGCTCAGTTGGTACAGCGCTCGCCTAGACTGCAGTGTCGTGGGTTCGAATCCCACCTAGGGCCGCTCTTTATTTTTTTAGGGCAGTTCTTTATTTTTGTTGTGCCTTTGCCTTTCTACCTCATAGTTTTCACATGAAACACAGTCGAGAGGACTCTACATACATACAATGTACCTGTTCGGAGATTAAGACGGATTTCTTGTGGAGATATCTGAACTGTTTCTCCAAATGGTTCCTGAGAGTGACATACACACCGTAATTACTACAGTGGAGTCTCCGAATAACGGACACTTTGGTACATAGGCCATTGTCCGTTATTCGGGGTATGTCCTTTCTTGGGGTGTTTTGTTTTAGTTGCCTCCCACTCACCTAAAAATGTGTTTAATAATTATCATACCGTTTAATAGTTTATAATCATACAAACCTGAAATTCAAAACCAGAGAGTCAGATCATCGCAAGATTTGACCATCCAAATGTCATGGAGCTAATTGGTATGTCAATTAGCAGTTGTAAGAGTACAGTGGGTCCCAGTTAATATCATACCCGCGGTGCATCCAAAAAATATGATAATATGCGGGATATTCTATAATTCGTATACTGTGTATACTCCGGGTGTGTAGCTATACTGTGTATACCAATGTATATTGTGATATAGATAGCAGTTTGTTTAGCTAAGCTAATGAAGATAGGCTAGCCTAGCTGTTTACATAAGCTAATAGAAGCCAGGTGGAGAATGGAGAGTTGCAAAACTCCAGCCCATGCGTGCAATGCCTAATTACGCATGCACAATAATGACAATACCACTAATTGACCGAGCGTCTGACCGAGTAGCTATAGCGAGACATGGACCAACAGCCAGCCAGGTTGTGATCCCGGAGACCTACCTCACGAAAGAGACTACGACCTAAATTCACTTTCTGGCAGAGCGGGGGCTCTATCTGTTCAAGATTATGCTCGTATAGGTCTGTCTCTAATACAGCCCTACAGAGTCAGAGCGGGGGCTCTATCTTTCACCTTGAGAGATTATCCAGACTTGTGAAAGTTATGTGTGATTATTTTTGTTCGTTGTTTGTGCCATCCCTAACGGGCAGTGCTAAATGAACTTTGAACTTTGAACTTTGAATATACGGGCAAAAACCAAAATTGCTCCATGATAATAGGCGGGATATTACATTATCCGTATTCTATAAAACGGAGTAAAATGTATGGGAAAGCATAGGAAATGGACATGGTCCAAGCACTCACGCTGACCTCCATAGCAGGCACTGTGCAAGGAACATTAATTTCGATGTTATGTCACTAAAATAAATAGAGTTAATTCACTAGGCGATTTATATTAGACAATTGCCTGATAATCCAAGCATGCAAGGTGATATTCAGAGGCTGCTTTTGTGTTTTTCATCCTTTTGGCTACAGGGAAATATGAGAGGACCTATTGCACTGCAAGTCTCACTGGATTGCCGTTGGACATGCTATGAGACACGAGCACAGTGAGTCTCAGGTGGAATGAGGTTCACGGATTAGCTAGTTGCTACAGTTGAAGAATGCTTACCGTCAACTTCATTTCATTAAGTAGCTACAATTTTGTATAGGACAGTACAGCAAGAGCGGCGATATTGATGTGTTTGTTTTGCTCTAATCATACAAAACTGCTGGTCTCGGTTAAACCTTGGACGCCCAATAAATTCTTATGGACTCTGTACACATGTATATGTGTCCGCGGCTGGTTAATTGTTAAGACTTTTGATTACACAAAATGTCCCTTGTAGGGTATATATACAATGCAAGAAATTGGTATGTAGTAGGCACTTTACTGGTATCAGATGACCCTTATGGTTTTTTGTAAGTCCCTCGTCCCTCATGACCAAATGTAACCCCATGCTCAATACTTAAACGATTGTAGTATCATAAATACAACAAAAAACTAAACTGTTTTGCCTGGGAACAAGGGCTAAGTCTTGTTGTTATGCACATTAGGGTAGCTATAAAGAACAACCCTGCTAAGCCTTCATATTCACAGCTCATTGTATAGGCCGGCAACAATTCTTGCTGCGTAAGAGACAAACACAGATAATGTGCGTTTAGAGTTCTATACGTGATTTATGGGAACGAGGGGTGTGGTCGAGAGAGTCATACAGCACTAGGCCTGAGACTATTATTCCCACAATTTGTCCGGATATTCTATTCTGAATTTCCTACTCCATATGCCTATTATTCTTTAAAGTTTACCCATTATTCACAGAAATTTACCTATTATTCTGCTTGAAAAATGAAAAAAACAGTACTATACAGAGCGGATCTACCGGATGGGAAGTCGACGCCATTTTATCCACGTGGTGTTTATTCCTGATTCCCTGTCCGAGTCGGAGTCCATTCCGTTTTGACCCACTCGTGCGCGTGACGCGCGTCCACTCGCGCTTCGCCCGTCCGCGAGTTGCCGCCGTTGCCGGCTCGTCGCTCGCTTGGAAATTTTCAACCTATTATTCTTGGAATTATTCTTATTCCCAGAGGGACCTATTATTCCGAAATTATTCTGGAATAATCGACGCAGGACTATATAGCACGAGGCGCAGCCCGAGTGCTGTATGGGTCTCGAGACCACAACCCGAGTTCCCATAAGTCATGTATTGAACGATAGGACGCATTATTATGTGTTTTATTGTGACTCTGTAGCAGTCGTCGACCTCTAGCGAGAGAAATACGACTGCGTAGCCTACTACCCGTGCGCACGTGCGCACTCGCTGGCTTCTCGAGCGAGTTCTCTGTTCTCCCGGCTACGGTAATCGAACAAGGTGGTGATGGTGGCTCTTTCTCCCTCAGAGAAACTCGTTTCATGGGTCGCTGGGCCGTTTGACCGGTCGGTGTGCCGCGGCCGCGGTCTCGCTTGCCACTGGTAGCTGAATGAAGGGGTGTGGTCGCTTCAGGCATCCCTCGCCTCTACAGACTCTACAGAAATGTCATCCCTCACCTCTAAAGCCTCTACAGAACCGTTTTTGTCTACACTATGGGTACGATGCTGCTGCTAGTTCAATGAAAAGCACTGAAGTGCAAACCCTCGGCGCACTGTGACGCGCACGCGTAAGTAAACGCATGCGCCGTACCACTAATTGATGGGTTGGGTTTAGTTTTAGCTGTTACTCGTGGTCTCTTGCCAGCTCGCGCAGAGTCTGACGCGGGCTAACTACACTACTAGATAGCATGGGAGAGGCGATACACGCCCTGCGTTGCATCTTCTGGTGCCTCCGAAGTACGCAGAGCACGCGGATCGATCCGACTGTGGTAAGCCATCCCGTCCGTTGTGTATTTGCATATTGGCTTTTTCACGCTCTAACTTTGCAACGGAGCAGTTTCAGAGAAAACCGTTTGAAATTTCTGACCTTCCTTGCCCGTTAAGTAGGTCGTATCCTTTGTGAGACCAACAAACACCCGAGAAGTGAGATTGAGAGTAACAGACACACAGACACACAGACCCAAGTACTGTAACCCTCGCTGCGCATGCGCGCCGAGGGTTAATTATTGGTCATATTGAACGCGTCTACACGCGCGGCAGCTTTGATCCGCCCACGCAAGTCACAATAAGTAATAGTGTACGGAAGTCAGTACTGTGCGCGTAATAATGGTACGAGGGGCGTGGTCCTACAGCACGAGGCGCAGCCGAGTTGCTGTACGTATAATTTATCGAGACCACGTTCCGAGTACCATTATCACGTGCACAGCACGTGCTTCCGTAATTTATTGTATGCGTGGGCAATTCAAAAGGCGGCGACCAGGAAAACCGGCGTTCAGAACGGAAGAGAGGACGAGAAGCTCGCGGAGCGCCCTTCCAGCAGCGGTTTGTGTCACCGTCTGAGTCGAACTCCGTCTACGAGAGGCCGCCGAGGGCGTCATTCCCAAAGCGTACGCTAGTCCGCGGATATAGTTCAAAAGGCGGCGGCCAGGAAAATCTTTTTTTTGCAAGTTCAGAAGGACTAGAAGCTCGCGGAGCGCCCCTTCCAGCCGCTGTTTGTGTCACCGTCTGAGTCGACCTCCGTCTACGAAAGGCCTCCGAGGCGTCATTCCCGCAAAGCGTACGCTAGTCCGCGGATATAGTACAGTTCGTGTGATATAGTACAGTTCCGCGCGATATAGTACAGTTCATTCACAAACCGTTCTGTATGATGAATATAGTACTGGCGGCGCCTTTGATTCGCCCACGCAAAATATAATATTGTGTACAGTTTGCTTTAGGTAATGTATGCAAAAAATCTATACAGGTTTATCCAGATTTATTTTCTTTTTATTGTTCTCTGTACTTATGGTACACTTCCTCCACTAAATTCTAAGATATCTCTCTCTCTTGCCTTGTACCAGCGTATGACCAAGCCCAGTAGAGCAGATGACATCACTGCCAATACTAATGTGCTCAGGTAGAACCAGATACCACATGTACTGGTGTTCAATGTGTCAAACCATCTTTGAATCCACGCGAAATGAAAAAATGTTCTCATAATAGCATGATATTAAGAAAGCTCCCATCAGTAAACCGTTCATTGTGTATGGTGCTCGAGCACACACAAATTCGACACTGGATTTCACTTGAATAAAAGCAGTAAGTCCAAGAATACAGTTGAAAGGGATGCCAATCATTGCTAGTTCAGAGTTACTTTCGATAAGACCCGTTATACAGGTAGCAGTGCCATTTGTGGGGGTTTGCTGTGTAGACTCTGCTATCATGCCATACACTGAAGAAAAGATGACTGCTGCTGCTCCAATTCCAGCAGACTGGAGGATGCTGGGACCTCGGTTTCTCAGACATGGGTAGATGAGTAGCTCATACAGTGGAATGGAAAACATGATAATAGAAGAAGGCGTGGAGATAAAGTGTATCAAAACATAAATTGGGCAGTGGGTTTCAGGTGGTTCTTTATGGGCAGATGTTTCCATAGTTGAGGCGAGCATGAAACTGTGGAACGATTAGTGACATAAAAATAGAAATTACCCCAATGACAGCTACAACTCTCCAGAAGGTCTTAACATCCTCCACTTGCTCTGTGGTGAAAGGTCCACCATATTTGACTTGCCATAGTCCAGTCTCGTTGGGCGTTCATTTTCACAGTATGTGAAGGCACTTCTCTGAACTGGATACTTGTGCTTTGCTGCATATTTCAAGACTTTGAAAATAAGACTCACTGGATTGACAGTCACTGGCTTTTTCACCAGTTTGTGGTGGAAATGAAAGTCCAAAATGAGTCCCACAGAGAGTAGTAGGACTGGCAAAAGTAACATTGTTTTGATAGTTGCTTGTTTTTGCAAATGTAAGCATTGATAAAAGGCGGTGCCTAAAATTGTAGTTATTGAAATGGAACTGAAGTATGTCCAAACCAGCCATTGTATAAAGGCAGAAATTGTGCTGGATCCACCAGTAATCTGGTCCATTGCTAGTGGAACTGCACTTGCACTAAACACTCCCGTAAGCCAAAACTGAGGAATAACCACGAGCAAGAGCTCGAGATTGTAGGTTGTTGTGACAAGTAAGTTCTCCCTGCATATTGAGATGACTGAACCAACAGTGGAGACCAGCCACATTGCCTTGAGTGTGAAGCAGACGAGTTTATATTTGCCCACAAACACCCCTGCTAGAAGACCTATGACAGGGAGTGATATACAAGATAGTATCACAATTCCTACTGGTACTTTCCATTGCTTCATCCAAAGAAGAGAAAAGCTATCTTCATCTTCTCCTTTCTCCATGTACATTAATTGTACTGAGAACCAGACTGAACACTGAATGATGAAGTGCCACGCAAGGATAAGTAAGAGGCTACTTGAGCCAATGCCACGAAATTTCAACTTCATAAACCACCTCTTAAATTCATAATTCTGGACGTTTGGTGCTGATTCTGCCAATGGATTGTCCAAAAAAGAACAGGATTCTTTCAGGTTGATGATTCTTTTGCCACCGGAACTGGTTGCCATTATTATTTATCAAGGAAACTAACACACATTATGTAGCCACTGATATGCTACTGAACTTTACACCAATGAATGCACATATGCTTCTTTAGTTTCAAAACACGTATTCATATCTCTGCTATACACGAGTGTTCCTAAAAAGCATTATATCGAAACTTAGATGAGAACATACAGTATTTCTGGTCAACACTTTTCTTAACGTATTTTTTTGGAAAATCCTGTCTATAGCAGAGAGATGAACACATGTTTTGAAACTTGAAAAGCAGCATGTTCTACAGCAATGAATGCACGTACTGCTTTTTGTATAAAATTCATCTCACTGCTAGCTATACACAGGATTATCCTAAAAAAGTGTTTGATATGTTAGATGCATAAGGTATTTCTGGTCAACACTTTTCTATCATGATTCTTTGAGGATTATGATGAATAAATTCATATTTCATTGACTTAATGTGTTTGTGCATGTCATGTTGTTCTAGTAACCAAATTCTAAAACACGGGAAACACCTTCCCAATATGAAAACAGTGGGGCCTTGCTAGAGCAACAACAGGCTATGAGATAGCATGAGTATTACAGACTGAGTGGGAAGTTCATTTTCTGCTGCACAGAATCAGAAGAGATGCTGATTTTATATGGAACGGTTGGAGAATGGTGGCATTTGTTTGCATGCCATTGGGACCTTACAAACATGCACTCAAACACATACTCTCTCTCCCATTCCTGCAATGGGTTTCTACTTACTACTTCATGTGATTGGATAAGGCGCTATAGTAGGTGCGGTCTAAATGTTTTAAAAACAAAGGCAAAACAGATACACACAGCATCCTTGAATTCATTGATGTGATTTTGCTTTGCCCATGATTTATGATTTTTTCAGTTGTCCCATCTTAGGTGTTGGCGAATAATTCGATACACATGTCTTGCCATTACAAAGGTCTTTTAGTGAGACTATAACTGACCTCTCTACAAGGGAGAAGTTTTGCTTCTTATATATTCAGTGGGCCACTACTTAAACCTGTGAGCTACACAACGATCTTCTGAATACAGCCCCCATGATTACTTGTGTATTGAAGTCAATATAGACAATAAACCTATGGAAACCATGTGACCTAGGGTCTCTCTCCTTTCCAACTAATAGTAGATACACAACTGATGAATCCGTAGTGTTAAAGATCCACCACATTTTTACCTTCTGAGACAAATTAAAGGGCTCCATTTGTGTATGTTGCATAAGGATGTAGGGAAAGCAAGAAGATGCTTATATATACCGAGATAGAAAACGATTCCACAAATCTATAACTACACCTTTGATTCTTAGAATATCTATAGTTTTTATGCTGTGACAAGCAAACTTTTTTAAAACACTAAGATGAAAAGGTGAGGGTGGATACCCCCCAAGGGGTGTGTGGTAATGCTCCAAGGACTCATGCTAACGTAACTCAAACATGTGTTGATTGCTCTCACTTGCCAACAGCTAATCAGAGTGCATGCCTCTCTTATTAAAGACAAAAATAGCGTCTATTTGATAGTTGATGCTAATATCTGCTGCAACTGTTGAGGAAGGTCTTTGTTGTTCATACATATGAGTGACCTGCCTGATGGCAGTGCCTCACGTAACCAGAAGATCAAAAAAGGCAGGAGCTGACGAGTCTAGTATAATAGCAGCAAAACTATTATTAAATTTACAAGGGGAGAAAGCTGTAAGCTGGGGTCTCATGGTTACAACGGTGTGCACACTTAACTAGGAATGGATTACTGATCTAGACTGGGAAATGCTAGTAAGTCTTAGATTACCGCCATGTTATGTCACATGATGCATGTCGTGTGTAATGTATCTGTATGTACGTCCAGTTATATTGACATAGGTACACCTTGCGAATCTGTTCGTAGAGAAGGTTCAATACAGTCGAACCACACAAAACTCATGTGAATGACACCCAAAACTCATAACGTACGTAATTTTGATGTTTATAAACCAGTGATTTGTTGTACTCATTCAGAGTCCTGTGTATGTGTATCGAGCTTGCTATTTTGCTATTGAGCTACTCAGTAAGCGGGCAGTGTGTCACCGGCGCATATAAACTAGTGTGCGACTACACTACAATGGAAGATCTTTGGGCAAGAGGAGCACCTAGCATTATCTTTCTGACCTTTTGGCCTGGTCTCCAAGAGAGCCAATAAAGATGGCAAACACATTCACTCGGGGGTCAGAGTTCATCAGAGATGCAAAGTGACTGGGTCTGATACCATAGCGTGAGAAGTTGGCATCGGTGAACACAATTCGTCGGCCTTTGATATCTGTTGGATGGCAGCTCTGGTGGGTGTTGTCGTCACTCAAGCAGTACTGGGACTATGTTTAGGCCTTGGCAGACTATGCCCAAGTTTTGGCCTATTTTTCTATTCTTTTAATGCTCCTATATTATGCCCATATTTCTTTTTTCTTTCACCCAGTTTTCTTTCGATTGTGCCTATTTTTTTCAAAAAAAGTGACTTAAAAAAAGACACTGATTACAAAACCTCTCCAATAAGAGTATAGTGCAAAAGCTGGTTCTTTTTCTCCTCTTCTCCAGCAGGAGGAGCTAGCTAGTGCCAGGGAAGAAGTCAGCCAGTTGCAGGGACGCCACTGGGAAACGGCTCCGTGAGAAGAACCAGACACTGGCTGCTGAACTGGAGGAACAGCGGGAGCAGTCGGCATCGGTTCAGAGTAGAGATGAGGAGCAGGAAAGAAGAACTGGAGCTGAGTTTGTCTGATCTGATACAGATTGAGTCCAAACTCCACCTCCACATGGGTTAGGGTTGGAGAGCAGTACAGCAATCACGTAGTGACACCTCCTAACCAGAGTCTCCTGACACACAGCTAGAGTTTTCACCTAATGTGTTTTCGGTTCATGAGCTGGAACAAGCAGTCACCTTTATTACAGGTTTCATTCTATTCTTAGTGTTTACTCTGTACAAAATCACAACAACATATACATATCTTTTTATGTCCATCATGAAAAGCACTAAAGTGCAAACCCTCGGCGAACTGCGCATGTGCGGTACCACTAATTGATGGGCTGGGCTTTTTATGCCTTTACTCGTGGTATCCCGCTAGTAGCTCGCGGAGAGTCTGGCACGGGCTAGCTACAGTAGTAAATAGCATGCGGGAGTCGATACATGCCCTTCGTTGTGACTTGTTGTGCCTTCAAGACACACAGAGCGAACGGACGCGGTCGAGGTAAGCCTGTGCTAATTTACATATTGGCTTGTTCACTTGATTTTCACGCCATAACTTTAGAACGCAGTAGTTTTACGAAAATCGCCTTTTTTAAAATCAACCCAGTGTAGCACTGAACCCGATCATATCGCTATTTACCTGATTTCGTGCGCGCGGTGGCAGAAAACGTGGTAACAGACAGACTGACAGACTGACAGACTGACAGACACACTTACGGGACAACTACCGTAACCCTCGCTGCGCATGCGCGCCGAGGGTTAATAATACTTTTTGCTACACACGCTATTGTGTGCGTGTAGTTTGTGAGTGGGCGTTGCCCAAGTGCGCCATAAATTTGCGTTGCTGGCTGCTTTCTTCGTCTGTCCTGAGGAAAGACATTTTGCAGCTGTGAATTTCAAGTGTGCTCATTCTCTGTGCACGGTTGGTGTATACTATACCCTTTTCATAGTCAGGGCGAACCGCAAACTATTCTCAGACTCCTCGGCTAGGAGTTGAATTTGTGGAGAGAGATGGAGAATGTTGAACAGGTTCCGCACGAAGAGGCGGTGGTACGAGAAGAACCTCTCGAAACAGAGCAGCAACAGCAGCAGGAAGAAGTACTTGTGGACATTGGACCGCTTGAGGAAGGCGCTGTTAGTGTCGAGGATGGCTCGGCTAGTGGAACAGCACTCGAGCAACAGGAGGGCCTGGAAGACGCATTGGAGCCGTCGACTGTGGATACGACGCATGCAGGATGTGCAGCAGAGGTTTCAGTTGTATCAGGGGTCACCCTAGACGAAGCTGGCATCACTCAGTTCTTGGAGGTGGGGGACATTGACGAAGGAACCCAGTTTGAGAGAGACTTGCAGCAGTGGCTGGCTCTGAAAGAGGAAGAGGTGAAGAACATGGCTGCACAGCTAGCGGAGGTCGAGACTCACCGTCAGCAACAGGCCCAGGAGTTTGCTGCTGAAATAGAGCAACTCAAACAATGCCATTCGGAGGAGATTGAAAACGCTCTCGCAGCGTCTACTGAGGCACAAGAGGAATTGAATAAATGCGAGGCAAAGTATAAGGAGGATTAGAGCGTGCTTTGGCTGAGAGTGAAAACAAGCACAGGGAAGAGGTGGAGGCCATCAGAGCTCAACTAGAGAAGGAGACGGAGGTGGAAGGTGGGGAGAGTAGTGAGAGGGAGGGTAGTCTGATTCCTCGACTGAGCCCCCAGCTGAGTCCCCGTGGCCAGAAAGAACTGAGACTCCAGCGAGAGAGACTGTCACGACAACACAGGAGTGAACTGAAGGCACAGGAACAGAAGCTGCGCGGCGAATTTGCCCTCCAGAGTGAGGCACTGCAGTCGAGGCTCGAGGAAGAGTTTACTGCCAAACTAGCTGAGGCCGTGACCGACTCAGCACTGAACAATGCAGCACAGGTAGAGGAGATAAGTCGGGAATTGAGACTGGAGAAGCAGAGGGCTGTGGAGGAGCTGGAGAGGGAGCAAGAGGAGAGACACAGGCAAGAAATGGCCAGGCTTTCCCAGGAACGCCAAGAGGCAGTGGAAGCTTGTAAGGTGGAGTTAGAGTCTGCTAGAGCCGAGTACCAGGGAAGGATATCAGCTCTTGAAGAAGCTATTGGTAGCGAGAATGAAAAAGAGACGCAGTCCGAGGTAGATAAGGGAGAGGAGTGGAAGGAGAGAGAAGAAACACTGCTGGGTGAGATGGAGGCAAAGTACTTGGAGCAAGTCGAGGAGATTCGGCAAGAGTGTACCAGAGACAAGGAGGCTGCTCTGGAAACTCTAAGAAGGCTCTGGAAGGAGGACTACAGACTGAGCTGAGGAGAGCTCAAGACATCCACAAACAGGCCCTGGTGGAGCAGCGAGGAACAGCTTCAGACTGACTTTGAGGGGCAACTATTAGCTGCACACGAGGCAATTCAAACTCTGCAGGCTGAGCTCCAGAGGGCAGGTCAGCGGGAGGGGGTTAACGTTGAGGAAGCGATGGCTAAGGCTGCCAAGGAACTGGCTGTAAAGAATGAGGAGATGCTACGAGAGGTACACCAGGCTGGGGTAGTGGCCCTGGAGGCTGAGAGAGAGGAGGAGAGAGGGAGACATCAGGAGGAGGTGGAGAGGCTCAGGGAGGACTTTGACACCAGACTGCACCAAGAGTTGGAGGAGGTGAGAGAGCCCCTGATGACAAATACACACAATAATACGAATGTACATTACTGGAGTCCATGGCGCGATGGGTGTGATGCAAGCGCTGCGCCTGAGCAAAGCCTTGTGGGGATGAATCTCATTAGTTCAAAACCACAAGTGCTGCGCTCAACTTTGCCAGAGAGAGAAGTTGTGGTATGCTTTGCTGATGAGGGCCAACAAGCCGAAACAGCTGTCCAGAGCTCCACATCTTTTTCTCTTGGCATCACATGGTCTATTGTTACATGTGTATGTGTGATGCAAACCAACTCAACATGATTCTGTGTCACAAAAGTCCATTTACCTTCACATTGTCTAGACACCAAACAAACGTATTACTGTACATCTGTATATGTTATGTTCGTGTTGTGTCTGCAGTTGACCCAGTCCCACAAGGCAGAGGTCGGTGTCCTGCAGCCAGCAGTACCAGACACAGCTGGACTCACTCACCCTCTCCACCAGCACAATATGGCTCAGGTAACTAAAATGTACAAGTGAGCTTACTGTGCCCTAGCTACCACAGGTATTTGAGGGCATCGCTATTTGTGGTGTATTGTGCACACTGTTGTATATATACTTATGTGACTTGCGTGGGCGGATCAAAGCTGCCGCGCGTACTCTTATTTCCTGTATTGTAGACCGCGTTCAATATGACCAATATTGAACGTTCAATAAAGAATTATTGAACTAGCACGCAGCAATCGTACCCATAGTGTAGACAAAACGGTTCTGTAGAGGCTTTAGAGTGAGAGATGACAGTTCTGTAGAGTCTGTAGAGGCGAGGGGATGGCTGAGGCGACCCACACCCCTTCATTCAGCTACCAGTGGCAAGCGAGACCGCGGCGCGGCACACCGACGGTCAAATGGCCCAGCGACCCATGGAACGAGTTTTCTGAGGGAGAAAGAGCCACCATCACAACCTTGTCGATTACGGTAGCCTCGAGAACAGGAGAACTCGCTCGAGAAGCCAGCAAGTGTGCACGTGCGCACGGGTAGTAGCTACGCAGTCGTATTTCTCTCACTGGAGGTCGACGACTGCTACAAAGTCACAATAAAACACATAATGTGCGTCCTATCGTCTATACATGATTATGGGAACTCGGGTTGTGTCTTAACCACACCCCTCGTTCCCATAAATCACGTATAGAACTCTAAATGCACATTATCTCTTACATAGAGTAGATTTGAGTCCTTTCAATGGAAGAAGTGATTTATGATGACAGCTGTTTCAAAACAGTATATTGTGACTTATGTTGTGTCTGTGAAGGCCAGAGAGGCGATTGAGAAGAGTGTGATGACAAGAACAGAGAAGGAGTTCCAGTCTCGACTCCAGCAGCTACAGAATGAACACACACCGCCCAACTCAGGTGCGTGTCAAGCAAGTGATGCTGCCGAAATCACAGGTCAGCACAGCCCTGGACGGCCATCTAGCCCTCACTGTGTATAACATGTAGCGATACCACGTCACATGTACATGCTTGTAAGGTGGGCTTAGCTAGTACGGTTGCAGGGGGTTATCCTTCTCTTTTTAATGCCCTCCTGCTTTTCTTTTTACATGGAAGCATGGTCAAATCAACTTCCAGCATGCATAATAACAGTGTATGCATATTCAGTGCAGCATCCCTTCACTAATGTTTTTCCCTTACTGCTATTGTGTTTTGACCAATGTCAGTGGGATTGATGATATGTGGATTCAGTGAGCATGTGTTCATGTGTCTGTGTTTTATGTGTCCATTTTACTGCATTGTGTATGTATGAATGTATTATGTAATGTATGATGTTATTTGTTAGTTCATGTGTGTATGTGTCAGTGTCATGCATGTGAGAGTGGTTCTGAAGGCCAATGGTACACTCTGTATGTTCATACCAGTGCTCTAATTGATGTACTGCAAGTTCATTTGAGGCTATATTCAGCCAGTGATAGTACCTCAGAATGGCCACCTCACATTGCACACTGTGTTTGTGTGTGACCCAGTATACATGCTGTGATCTCAACCACCAACTGAGCCACTGAATAAACTGTACTAAGTGTTTACATGTGTTTCCAGCAAGTCCCCTCAAGTGTATGGCTTTTACACCACCTTAAACAATTGGCTACAGCTTCCGTATTTCCTCAATCCTCAAATAGACACTGCACTGTAGGTGCTGAAAACATTGGTAGCCTCTGCCTCTATTCACTGTGTTAAAAGGTTGATTGGCTGTGATATACTACACAGAGTGGTGGAGGAGGAGGGGGCAGAGAGAGTTGCACAGGTACATCAAGAGCTGGAGAGAGTTAAGGTTATATACATTTCTTGTGTATGTTGTTCTCTGTGTGTGTGTGCTCTGCTGCTTGCTGCACAAGGATTGGTAGGTTTGCTAGTCCTGTTAAAAATGAACCTGGGTGCCTCTTACGTTCACATTTACCAAGTCTGTGGCATCTTTCTGGTTATTGACTTGCAGCCAACATAAGCAGTTGTGTAAGTATAGGGGGGAACATGTAATTATGTATCTGTGTAGAGCATGTGCAACATGTATACTTCTATCCACCAGGAGGAGCTGGTGGAAGTGAGGGAGGTGGTGGAGGAGCAGCGAGGAGTCCTGAGGGAGAGAGAGGAGGAGAGGGAGAGACTGAGTCTCCAGGTCCAGGCAGCTGTGTCAGGGGAGAGGGATAGGGAGGACCAGAGGGACAGACAGCACCGCGAGGACACTGCCTCTCTCGCCATCCTCCAGAAACAACTGAGTGCTCTCACCAATGAGAAGTACATAAGAACTCCGTGTTAACTTAAAACGTTTACACCACCCAATTTAGGTTACACAGATTATTGCACTGCGTGCTTCTGCAAGATTTTGAAATGTTTGGGGCTTTGTGTGATTGTAACTACATCTGCCTTGCTCTGCGCTTGTAGCATGACTGTCATCAGGAACACATGATGGCTAAAGTATTAATTTACATTTTGGTGAACCGAGCTTACCGAATTTTCTAATTTATCCGACGTCACTGTAAGGTCCTACTAGATTCAAAAACGTGCATGCATCAACTGAAATGTCACAGTCATTCCTCCACGTGACTGCAACTCTCGTATTTGCTCATCCAGTAATGCAAAATGCAAGTAGATGCAATGTACACTAAAAGCAAGAGTGTGTTGGTCACAACGTGTGTCCTCTACATTATGTTGCAGGGTGGCTCTGGAGTCATGTCTGGTGATGCTCCAGTCATCAGTGTCGGGGTGTGTCCAGTTGGCCAGCCTCGTGGAGCAGACTCTCTCCCCTCCCTCCTCCACAACCACTGCTTCCCAGCTCTGGAACACTCCCTCTTCTATAGTGTATGTTCTGTTGACTATATAGTACTCCTACATACTTGCTATGTTATTAACCCTTGGCGCGCATGTGCAGCGAGGGTTGTTGTCGGGTGTGGCATCTACTGCTGTAGCTAGCCTGTGTCAGATTCTCCGCGATCTACTGGTGGGAGACCACGAGTAAATGCATACTAATTGCCCATCCCATCAATTAGTGGTATCGCGTATGCGCAGTTCGCCGAGGGTTTGTACTTTAGTGCTTTTTCATTGTATGTGTATGTATGTGCATGCTGCATAATACTTTCACGAATCATTTGAAACCAAATTTTACGCAAAAAGTGTAATAAATGTGTATACACAGATGGTTAGCTAATGTTTATTTTTTGCTAGTCATAGTG